ATTCCTGAGCATAGACCAGCTGCAGCTGGGCCTTTGGATTTTTGAAAAATATGTGCACCAAATGGTTTATGAACAATTATCTAAGAACTTCTTGTTTGTACAAGTGACTAAGTGCCTCCATTTTCTAATCTCTGTAATGGGGATAATGATGAAACCATGTTTGTAAAATCCTTTTGAACTCTGCAGATGAAAGGCCTCATGTGAGTATAAAGTATTGTTATTAATATAATAGAATCTCTAATTTAAAGGAATAGGCTATTTAGAGCTCCTTGTAAATTCACTAATCTTTAAGCTTAATTAATCTAATAGCCTTTGGAGGTTGAGCTGATGCAGTTCATGTAGGAATGTGCGTTGTTTGGTTGTTCTCATTCTCTTTCCATTTTTTCCCCAGTCCTAAGTAGGTATAAGACTTTGTTTTTTTAAATTTAATTTTTACTCCAGGACATACTCAGTGATAGACTGGTATCTAGGGATCCTTTCTTTTTTCTCTCTCCATTTCCCAGTGAGATAACGCAATCCTTTCTAAAAGGGCCCCGTTCATTTATATATCTTTATATCTATATCTATATCTATATCTATATCTATATCTATATCTTGGCTGCTGTTATTGGTGGATTAATGGAAAAATTTAACTCATTAAGTTGATGTTAGGAAATACTAGGAAATCTAAATTAAAGAAATAAACACTTTGTGTGCTAGGCTTTTATGTTATTGCACTTTTCAGTTGTCTTCAGCATTTTAACAAATTCTTTAAATCAGGGTTAGAAGCTCAAATATGAAAGGGATCTGACTGCAGAGCTGTGGGGTATATTTTCTCTGAGACATGCTGGAAAAGGGATTTTTTATCAAATACATTTATGGGTCATAGGTGAGCTCAGATCCACACAGATGCTTTCTTATTAGCATTTTTACATTGCTTTTCAGGGGCAACTGTGGCTTCATGAGATGTCTTTATTCAACATAATTGTGAAGCATCTCTGGTCTTCTGAGTCAGAATCAATCATTTTGTCTTTTGTCATTCATGGTGTTTGGTTAATTCTTGTTTTCACTTTTCCCACAGTTAGACTTGCGTTGATATTTCATTCCGCCCATGTTCCTCGTCCCACTAGATGAACACACTGTGCCTTATATTTGTATCCTCCAGGGCTTAATGCCTTTTATTTAGTTATTCATGACTCCTTCATCAGCCAGCCAACCAATGTTTATTTAGCACCAATTACGTTAGGCCCTTCAGGTACAAAGGGGAAAGAACCCCAACGTAATTTTTGATGTGTCCACAGCGTAGTGGATGAGTAAGACAGGTACGAAAACAAATACTTAGACCATACGACTTGATAAGTGGTATCTGGTGAAACTAGTAATGGTAACACTTCATATAGAGCTTACTATGTACCAATACTACTCTATATTAACATGATTGCTTTCCATAAGAACCCGATGAAATAGAACTCTTATTGCAATAGGACAGGCTTTGAGAGGTCAAGTCCAAAGTTACCACGTGTGGCAATTGCATGAATGTACATAAAGCTGTGGGTGCACAGAGCAGGGCATGATTACTTTTGACCTCCTTTTAGGTATTAGGTGTTAATAAGTTATTTGTTGAAAAAATGAATGAGGGAGATAATTAGTTATTGGTAATTTTGTTTCTAGCAACCAAAAAGAATCATGGTAGAGAAAATGCAAAGATCTGAAAACTCATGGCCTAAGTTATGAATTACTCAGTTTTAATAATGAGACCCCAAAATTCAAAGACAAGTTTTATGCCTTTAAATCTAGAAATGTATCGAATTTACTATTTTGAAATTTGTGTGTGCTATTTCTTAGCATTTTGGAGGAAGGAATTGCTCTCCTATTGTAGAGCTGTGACTACACATTCACCTCCAATCACCTGGCTGTAGGTAAACAGCTGGAAGTTTAGGTATTTAGTATTCTTCACAGGCCTTTTGTTCAATCGCTTCTCAAAAAATACTCTATTCCTATAGAAGCTGCCAAAGTAGGGGATACATTTTAATCCAAGATGTTTTAAAAATAGATATTATACAATTTTAGTAGGTACCCCAAGGGAAGATAAATAGACACCAAGCTCCGTGAAGCCTGAAGTGCCTTGCATAGCATTTGATACTGTAGTAGCTGTTGAATAAATATTTGTTAAATAATTTATATTTAATAGCTTCACTCCAGTGATCAGCATAAATTTTAATGTTTAATGCACACTATTCAAGAACTTGATTTTCAGTCTTGGGACTAGTAGAATTTTCCCTTTTATGTATTTTTTTTAAACTTATGTTCTCATTTGGTGTTGAAACAGGAAAATACAAATAAGCTGTGTAAGAGTAGGTAGAATATTTTGTATGTTACAAAGAGCATAGAACCCAAATTTTTTTTAAAAAAATTCTTCTTACTTATGATATTTTTAAGGACATTTTCTTTAACCATCAAAAAATCCATTGGGTTAATAGAGGAGGCCTGTTCATTTTCTTCATGTAGGACACATGCTGATCCTTTTGTTTTCATGTTATTGGAAAGTTTTCTTTTCCTTTAGAGATCCAAATAACCCTCTCTTTACTATGGTCATAGTATGTTTTACTTGCATCTATTTTGGTATTTGTAGTTTATCGAAATTATTTGCAGGGCCTGCTTTTCCTTCTAATTCACAAGGGAGAGAAAGGAAGAAGAAAACTGAGGCTTATTGAATCATCTACTACGTGCTTTATACTCCTTTTTTCTTAGTTAAAAAACTTAAATTAAAAAATTAAAATTAAAGCTTTATTGACATATAACTGACAAAAAAAATAGTAAGATATTTAAAGTATCCATCGTGGTGATTTGGCTTTATGCTTCTTTCATTCATTAAAGAAATATTCATTTGTACAAGGCCAAGCATAGGCCTAGGCAGCAGGATAACTGCCTTCCAGTTGCCTGTAGCTGAGACCAGTAGATGTCTACAGTTGGCACGATTAATTCGATGAAAAAGGAAATATGAGGTGTCATAGGAGCACAGCATGGGATCATCACCCTGATGTGTGGGATCAGGGATGACCTTGCAGAGAGCCCATCGTGACGCTTAAAGGTGGAATAGGTAACCCATGCAAAGAGGAATGTAGGGAGACCGTGAGGGGAAAGTGTTCTAGACAGAAGGAAGAGCAAGTAAAAAGATCTGGGAGGGGCTTCCCTGGTGGCGCAGTGGTTGGGAGTCCGCCTGACGATGCGGGGGACACGGGTTCGTGCCTCGGTCCGGGAAGATCCCACATGCCGCGGAGCGGCTGGGCCCGTGAGCCACGGCCGCTGAGCCTGCGCGTCCGGAGCCTGTGCTCCGCAAGGGGAGAGGCCACAACAGTGAGAGGCCCGCGTACCGGGGGGAGGGAGGGAGACATAAGAAGGAAGAGAAATGGGAACATATGTATACGTATAACTGATTCACTTTGTTATAAAGCAGAAACTAACACACCATTGTAAAGCAATTATACTCCAATAAAGATGTAAAAAAAAAAAAAAGGATCTGGGAGGAGGGGTAGGAAGAGAAGGAAGGGAGATTGTCACTCAGGTTAAATGCTTTACATAACCCCTCTCATCCCCTAGCAGATAAGAGTTATTATCCTTTTTTGTTTCAACGTTTCACGCCAATAATATTTAAATGTTTATTCTAACTTATTACCACCTAAGGAATGAGGTGCTGGTCATACCAAAAGCAATAATCAAGGCTAAAAAGGGAAAAGTCAAGCTAAGATAATTTAAACTTTAGATGCTAATCAGAAAGATGCCTAGAGCTCGGTATGACTAGTACTCAGTCCCTGGGGTGATAACAAACAAAGCAGAGCCGTTTGTTTGCGCTTCCTGACACCATGGCAGCTAATTCACCTGCCAGCCTCCATTGATTTTGTCTTAACTCTGTCTCCTTTGTGAAATAAACCAGCTTTTTAAATGTTGGATTTCACCAAAATTCCTGGAAATCAGCTTATTTATTTTGGTTCCACCTTTAGCTTGGTGTATATTCTCTTCCTCTCTAAATCAAGGACCTATTTTGCATCAGCCCTTCCGTATGTGCTGCAGGGGAGGGTGGCCCAGCAGTGATGACATCCGAGGCTGCAGCTCAACCCCAGGAAGGGACCCCCGGCATGACCCGTGAGAGGAAGGGAATGTGGAAGGTAGCAGTGTTTTAGTTTGCTAGGGCTTCCACAACAAAGGACCACGGACTGGCTGACACACAGAAACTTATTTCCTCACAATTCTGGAGGCCTGAAGTCCCAGAACAAGGTGTCGGCAGCTGGGATTCTTCTGAGGCCTCTCTTGCTGGCTCGTTGATGGTGTCTTCTCCCTGTCTTCACATCATCTTCCCTCGGTAACTGTGTCCAAATTTCCTTTTCTTAGGAGGACACCAGTCACGTTGGATTAGCCAATGATCAGGCCCCCCCAATGATGTCATTTTAACTTACTTTTTTAAAGACCCTATATCTCCAAAGATAGTCATATACTGAGGTACTGGGGGTTAGGACTTCAGCAGATGAATTTTGTGGGGACTCAGTTCAGCTCATAACAGCATGGAATTCATTTCCTGTCCTATTTCTTTACTGGGAATATTTCTAGGAACTCTCCAGTGTTCAGTCCACTTGGAGGGACAAACATTTCAAGAGGAGAGGAAGGAAAAGCAATTGATCTTCTGTTCTACCCCAGAAATGTCTTCCAACCTACGAAAGCTTCTTCTTCCATCTTTCCCTTAATTTTTATTATTTATTTGTTTTTACATATGATACATGTATTTATTGTACCTACTAGGTGTGTTCTCTTTGGGAAGTACGAAGCTCTTTGAGAACACAGGTGGTTCATTTTTTTTGTTTTCCCACAAATACTGGGACCTTTTGAGCAGGAAGGTCTATACTTTACTAACATCTAGAACCAGCAGCTAACACAGTGTCTAAGATGTAGTCAATACATATGAAATACATAAATGAACACATTTTTAAGGAGGGGCCAGGACATGAACAAATAGAAATTTTTCATTTTCAGTCACAAAGCAACAACAGACATAAAAATGATACAGACAACAAGTGCTGCGGTCATTCAAAGAAGGCATAGAATAGATAGTGCTATGGTCATTCAAAGAAGGCATAGAATAGATACAACAAAGATCTCCTCTATGGCACAGGGAACTATACTCAATATTTCATAATAACTTGTATCCCTTCATTTTTAAAATGCACTAGGAAACTTCGCCGGCTATAACTGTGGAGACTGCAAGTTTGGCTGGACTGGCCCCAACTGCGAGCAGAAGAAACCCCCGGTTGTCCGGCAGAATATCCACTCCTTGACCCCTCAGGAGCGTGAGCAATTCTTGAGCTCCTTAGACCTCGCAAAGAACACGCCGCATCCCGACTACGTGATCACCACGCAACACTGGCTAGGCCTGCTCGGGACCAACGGGACCCAGCCACAGATCGCCAACTGCAGCATTTATGACTTCTTTGTGTGGCTCCATTATTATTCCGTCAGAGATACATTATTAGGTGAGTCTTTTTTTCCCCTGAGTTTAAGGTATTTTATTATAGGTTTGGGATTGGGGGGTGGGTGGGTGGGTGGGAAATACTTTCAGGCACTTTCTTGTCACTTAATTGACAAGAGAAAAACCTCTCAAGGAATCAAAGAGGAATTAGGTTTATGAAAGTCATTGAATTATCAGATGCTGCCCAGTGTTAGAATGCAGTGGTTTCTCCCTGGACGTTGGCTGCGGACATCTGAAAATGTTCTCTCCTATAGTTTGTGTTTTTGGTTCAGGGTCTAAACTCTTCTCTCCGAAGCTATTCATCCTCAAAGGCAAGATTTGGTGAAGTGGAGACAAATTCCTTTTGATTCCAGAAGAAAACATTTCTAAATCTGACCATGGAAGCCTTCTCTGACCTGTTCTAAAAGCACGTGAAGCTTCTTTGTGCAGAATTAGAGTATCGGTATTGGAAGTGTGTATCGCACTAAACTCACATGTATTAGTCGTGAGACTTTCAGGTCGTCACTCGTGGTGCCCATGCACTGCTGTAATTCCCAGGGTTTTTGGACTTGAATTGTCAAGGAAAAGGATGAGCTGAGCCACAGCAATGTAGCTTGGCTTAGCCCTTTGAACCACAGTTAGGCTGGATGCTTGAGAAAATGGCACTCTGCTCTTCCAGATACTAAAAACTGGGGCCTGGGATGGGAACTGTCTGTTAGGAACGTCATTAATCTCGTACATCAAACTTTATCCTCTGTTATTTTCAGTCACGGGAAAGCCATGGCCACCAGTTAGCTCCAGGAGGGCTGGAGTCCAGTCCAGATTCTGCTCCGTGCTGTCCTGAACTTTGGCTCTATTTGCAATTATCCCCACTTCTGGGGCTTCTCTTTGGGGTCAGGGTGAATGAAGATACAGAGCTCACTTTGAATAGCAAGATTCTCATGTGAAATCATCTTTCCTTGTGTTTATCGCTCACTCTCCCTCGCTTGATGCCCCCTCATCATTTTGTCTTGAGAACTTTTAAACTCTGTTTTGCATTAAAACATTTACAAAGGGCTGCGTAGCCAACATCAGTGACAGCAGTTTTTTCCCCTCAGTGTCTTTTAAAAACTTGCGTCATAGGTAAGCGTCTTTCTTTATCGGTAGATACGGAGGCTCCTCTGGCTATAAACCTTTATTGTTTTCCTGTCATCACTCTGAGGAATTTTTGCTTTATGAGAGGGTAGTCTCTCGAGAGGAAAAGAAAACTATAGTTTCTGGTTGCATCTAGGAGTTAAATTTATATTCATTTCTGTTCATCTCTCTGAGGTTATCATGGGTGCTTTGAAAAAGGACTAAAGTTAGCTAAAGTTTCTACATAACCATCAAAAGCTGTTATGAGAGGGAAAAGAAGGGTGGAACAGGCAGCAAGGAGGTCATTAAATCTCCCAAAGCTTTTCACTAAAATTGGCAGTTCCAGAGGCCAGCCAAATTGGTTGGAATGTATTTTTCTCTCTTCTGGGCTCAGCAACCATGCTTGTCAGCTAATAGCTGTAACTGATTGACGGCTGAGGCAGAATCCGTGGAAGTGCCTTTTGGTTACATAAATGCTGAATTTGGACTCAGTGCAGTTGAAGTCGCTTTATTTTCATTAACCCCTCCCTATAAATACATGCTTTTGTGAGGAATAGGTTAGAAAATGTCTTTTAGAAATATATTTCATTTAGGTCTCGATCTCTTTGGGGGGGGGGATACTCATTGTATCTTCACGAAACATTGCTTCAAAATTAAATTTATAACAGGAGCTCTTAAGATGACCTGAATTTCTCTGGATCTCTGCTGTCAATCAAACTTTCGAGAGATGAAGGAGAACTTATCCTAAAACTGCTAGTTGCTGCTGAGATTGTTTTGTTGTTGTTGCTTTCCGAGAGATAAATGACAAAAACGCTTGTTTTCTCTTATGGCTACCAAAGGGGAAAGGGGGGGATAAATTAGGAATTTGGGATTAACAGATACACACTACTATATATAAAATAGATAAAGGGCTCCCCTGGTGGTGCAGTGGTTAAGAATCCGCCTGCCGATGCAGGGGACACAGGATTGAGCCCTGGTCCGGGAAGATCCCACATGCCACGGAGCCGCTAAGCCCGTGCGCCACAACTACTGAGGCCCACACGCCTGGAGCCAGTGCCCTGCAACAAGAGAAGCCACTGCAATGAAGCCACTGCAAAGCTCACGTACTGCAACGAAGAGTAGCCCCTGCTCGCTGCAACTAGAGAAAGCCTGCGCGCAGCAACGAAGACCCAATGCAGCCAAAAATAAATAAATAAATTTATTTTAAAAAATAGATAAAGAACAAGGGCCTACTGTATAACACAGGCAGCTTTATTCAGTATCCTGGAATAAACCATAATGGAAAAGAATCTGAAAAAGAATATATATATATATATATATGTATATATATATTTTTATATATATATATACGTATATATATAAACTGAATCACTTTGCTGTACACCTGAAACATTATAAATCAATAAAAAAATAATTAATTAATTTAAAAAAGTTGTTTTCCAACTAAAACTTCACGAACTTATTGGCTCTGCAGCACCTCCCAGGTAACATTTAACATTAAAAAAAAATCTATTCTGTGACCTCTAACATGTTTCCCAATTGTTTTAGGACCAGGGCGCCCATACAAGGCCATAGATTTCTCACACCAAGGCCCCGCCTTTGTGACCTGGCACCGCTACCATTTGTTGTGGCTGGAAAGAGATCTCCAGGTTGGTCCAAACATCAGTTTCTTTTAATTTTGTTATGTATTTGGTCAAGACCCATATCAGTCTTTGCTTTATACATTTTCTTGTTGTATCTGATGACATGAATTAAATGACTGGTCATGCCCTTTGCTTTTAGCGCCTCACCGGCAATGAGTCCTTTGCTTTGCCCTACTGGAACTTTGCCACCGGGAGGAACGAGTGTGACGTGTGTACAGACCAGCTGCTTGGGGCTGCAAGACAAGATGATCCGACTCTGATTAGTCAGAACTCCAGATTCTCCAGCTGGGAAATTGTCTGTGATAGGTAATCGCATGTGTACCTGCAGCAGAAATCCAGAGATTGTATTTTCTTATGTCTGAGAGATGGAGAAAAACTTTACAATTCTGTTTCTAATGCATGTTGGATTCTGTTTACATGTTTCTGAACAGTATTTTCCTGAGGGAGGTGGGATTTTAAAAATCCCTGAGCCCTTTAATAAAAAGAAAATAGAGGTATGGAAATCACACTTGTGAATTGAGTATGCTTGGCCATCACTTTGAGGTCAACTGTCTTAAAATGAGAAGTATTTCCTGTATTCAGCCAACATGTCTTAAGCACTGATCATATTCTAAGCAGTTTAATAGTGCTGGGAATACAAGGATGAATAAAATATAGCTTCCCTTTGGAATATCATTTTATACTTACAAAGGTAGAAGGCTGGTAAACAAATTACAATATAACGTGAGAAGCATTTTAATAGGTGTATGTCCAAAGCCAAGAAGAGAATCAGTGAAAGTCTTTAAGAGGTGGAGACACGAGTATCCTGAGACTTCGAGGAGGCACAGATCTCTCAACCAGAGGCAGGGGAGGGTGGTGTGTCCTAGACGGAGGGAACATCATGTATGAAGTTAGAAAAGTCCCTAGAAGCAGTCTGATATGGCTGGGCCATAGGGTGCTGGGGAGTTGAGGGGAACAGGAAATGGGGTGGTGAGATGAATCTCTAAAGTACTAAAATCGGGTCATGTGCATCTGGTGTAGAAACTTTTTTCTACCGTAAGTGACACCAACAAATGTTTGTTATTTGAAAAAAAAGAAAGTACCAAAGAACACACAAGCAGCACATACCCCACAAAGAATTCTGTCCTCAGGGATTCCTTGAATTTGTTTCTCTTTCCTGGCACACATCTCAGGAAAAGATTCCCCAAGAAGCTCTTCTGTCTTCCTATATTCATTTGTTTCCTCCACGATCCTCCTGTTTTAAACTCCACTATACTAGTGCCCTTGTCCTTTGTCTTTCGACCGCTCCATGGCACAGAGCTTTGTTGTCCACGGCCCAGGCTGGGCGTGCGCGTGTTTTCGGGGGGTCTAGGTCTAGCTCACTGTGATCCCATTTTCTCCATCCTAAGCTTTTCCTACAGCCCTCCAGGCAGTGCTCATAGGGATGTAGTAAGTGCTTTGTACATGACTTAATGTCATTCCATAAGGGCAGCATTTCTCATAGTGCCTTGGGCTATTAATAGGTGGTATGTGAAAAGAGATTCCTCTGATCAAATAAATTTAGAGAATGCTGAGTTAAAAGGGTTTTAAAAATCTTAGAATGTCTCAGAGCCTTTCATAAGTAACCGTGTTCTTATTTTTCAAGAGGGGCTTAAACTTATCTGACCCTGACCACCCTTATTTCACAGACCATCTCACTGGAACACACTGGGGAAAGGCTGCTTTGGAGGCTATTTTTTGTCTAGTTTTTAGATACTGGCATCTTTCATCCTCATGTGAGCTGATTCTGTTCTCACACACCCAGTATGATCCCCTCACCCATTAAAATGCACACAGAAACATCTTTAAAATTTGATCTCTACCAAATGGAATACTGTTCTGATGGTGGAATTCCAGGCCCCAACAGGCATGTAGGATATAATCTTATGGGCGCGGGACCTTCCCAGCATCCCGCGTTTACCAATTAACCATCCCTTCTGCCTTAGAACACTTTCCAATACAGCGTTTCTCCTAATACTTCTCCATATAGTTTCATGTGTTTTCACTCTGACCACCTTCATTTGCCTTCAGTTTGCCTGAAATGCTTTCCTAGCTTTACTTCTGCCCAAACTGGCTTAGCTCAATATTAATACAGTCTAGCCTGGTCTCTCCTCAGTTACTCAAGATTCAGATGCACATAATGGGAGTCACCGTCTTGCCTAGTAAACCTACTGTCTTTCCAACGGAATGGTAATTTTTCTTCATTATTTATGTGTTGATTCATATTTCATGCATCTATGTTTTTGAAAATCCTTAATCCATAATTGCTTTTGGAAGCAGTACTTTTACCACATATTTTTGACCCTTGTAAGGTAACTGTAGTAAAATTTTACCACGACTATAACCTTGATTGGTTTGCTGGGCTCAGAGTTATGATACTATCCATATTATTTCTAATCTCCTTACACATCTTAGCTTGGATGACTACAACCGCCGGGTCACCCTGTGTAATGGAACCTATGAAGGTTTGTTGAGAAGAAATCAAGTGGGAAGAAACAGTGAGAAACTGCCAACTTTAAAAGACATACAAGATTGCCTGTCTCTCAAGAAGTTTGACAATCCTCCTTTCTTCCAGAACTCTACGTCTAGCTTCCGGTTGGTGCCCTGAGCTCTGCGACCCTGGCGTGTTCCAATACTTTTAGATTTTCACGCCTGTGGTTGTAATGAACTGGAAGGAAATCCAGGTGTTGGGAGACATCAAAGCTCAGGAATAGGGAAGCACTTGGTAAAAGAGGGTAACAAGGCGTCAGTGTCAAGGCAGTCATCATCCACCTGCTATCATTAATAGCGTAGTTTGAATATCTTCTAACTCAGCCATTCAAAACCACCTTTTGTATTTCTAATTTCTGTACACATATAAGTACAGTCTTCAGAACCAAGGCACCTCACTAAATAGAGTAGTTTTGAAATATTTGCTCATGATTTTTCTTTTCTCCCTTAAAAAAATGTCAACCATAGACCTTAATATTGGAGTCTGAGATCTCAGAGGAGTATTACAGATTAAATGCAACTCAGATTACAGCACAGCAATGACGTTACAATACTTGAAATTTAAAGGCCAACTAATAATTTTCTCCCTCTACAAAGACAGTAAACATGATGAGAAATATGTATGGCTATAAATAAGATTTTAAACAAACATCTTTGAAGCTCCGAAAAAGAATGGCAGATAGACTCACGGTCTTCTCCCAAACTGAATTCTCTCTCTCAACCGTGTGTAAATTATACAACTGGTGTGTTCTTTGGGGCCAGGGGCAGGGTAGGCTGAACTTACTGCAGAGGTTGTGCCAAGTGTAGCAGAGCCCAGAGTCTGTGCTGGTGTTGGACACATCCCTCAGGATAGTGTCAAAGGTGAGGTGAAGGGTGACCTTTACCTTGAAAAGGAGCATGAGTTTTTCATTGTGATACAAGTGCAGTCGACGCAGATTGCATTCCCTATAGATTTTAGTTAAGCGAGTGGTTTTCAAAATGTGGTGCCCAGACCATCATAATTGACATCACCTGGGAGTTAGGTAGAAAGAACCACAGATTGTTAGGACCCAGCCTGTACCTACTGAATCAGAAACTCTGAAAGTGGGACATGAAATATGTATTTTTATTTTCCAGTGATTCTGATGTATGCTTAAATTTGGGGATCACTGAGTTAGGGTATGGACAATTAAAATGTCCTGAAAATGAGGAGGGGAAAAAAGAGAATGATAAGGGGAATTTGGGGATATGTTTAGAATGCTGAATGTATTACAGTCAAACAGCAGATCTATTTAGTGGAGAAATAGGAATATAAGATTATATGTGAATTCAAAAAAAAAAATTTATTGATCTCAGACCATGTGCTGGGCATGGTACTGAGACCTGGAAATACAAATTTGGAGAAACCGCAGTCTCTGTCCTCTAGGAGTTCATATCTGGCATGGGAGACAGATATGACGGTAAATAATTGTCATACAGTACACAAAAGATATAGACTCCAACCGAGTAGGTGTGGAATTAGCATGGATTAGGAGTTCCCTTCTCTTTAGAAGATCTCATTAACGGTTGTCGCTAACTCTTAGCTGTTTAGCGACAACAGAGCTTCCCATTTCCCGACACAATCTCAAAATAGAAGATTATTATCTAGGCTGGAAACAATACAAAGGGACCTTTATCAGTGCATGACTCTTGTCGCTGACATACTGATTTCTCTCAGGAATGCTCTGGAAGGATTTGGTAAAGCAGACGGGACCCTGGACTCTCAAGTGATGAACCTTCATAATTTGGTTCATTCCTTCCTGAACGGGACGAATGCTTTGCCACATTCTGCTGCCAATGATCCTGTTTTTGTGGTATGTTCAAAGACTCGGAAGAGATGAAAACTTTTCTAGATAATGTGTTGGATTTATGTGCTTTACAACAAGATTAAGGTTCGGCGTGTGTTTTATTCTCTGGGTGAGCGGGATGTATGCATATGTAAGTTAATTTAAATCTACAGCATAGGGGTGGTTAGATAGCATTTGAAGTTCCCTCATCAGAAACCTGTACTTTAGAGATGGTTAGCTTTGGAATGACCCTAGATGGGAGCTTACAGTCCAGAGGTGGATTCATAAATTAGCAAAATAATATTATAAATTATACCATAATTTAGCATAACATATTGTACATTAGCATAATGATGAGTGATTTTTCATTGGTGGGATGAGTGGTGTTGAAGGTAAGTGATGGGCTGGAAGTACTGGGCAGGTACTGTGACCCTTGCATGATGCCCAGGTACCTGAGGTCCAAAGCTCTGTTTGGTGTTTGGTCCTGGCTTCCCTGACTTCACAAAGGATTCTGGCTTAAAATGAGCTGCTTTTGCCATCAGAATATCAGAAATGTGGACTATTGGTCCCAACTTCTAACAAGGTGGGGGCTTGTCTGTGAGTCCTCCATTGCCATCTTTGTTCTTCTGTAGGATGGTCCTTGTTCCCTGGCTCTAACTTGATATCTCACATCACTTTTCAGGCTATCATTTCAGCCATCAGATTATGCCAAGCATTTTGATGTCTACCTTCTCTGCTATCTATCTATACATCTATTGACACCATATGTCTCTAAATAAGTTTTTATTAAAACACACGTTTTAAACTATAAAATTTGTACATACAACTCATATTCATAAGAAAATATGTCACTCCTACCCAGTACTCCAAAATATTGAGTAGAACAGCAGAATCCTCTGATGAATTGAGGATTAATCCCAGACCTTTCACTCCTACCAAAGGTAATGCTAGTAATTTTTTTTTTAAAACATCTTTATTGGGGTATAATTGCTTTACAATGGTGTGTTAGTTTCTACTTTATAACAAAGTGAATCAGCTACACATATACATATATCCCCATATCTCCTCCGTCTTGCGTCTCCCTCCCACCCTCCCTATCCCACCCCTCCAGGCGGTCACAAAGCACCGAGCTGATCTCCCTGTGCTATGCGGCTGCTTCCCACTAGCTATCTGTTTTACGTTTGGTAGTGTATATATGTCCATGCCATTCTCTCACTTCGTCGCAGCTTACCCTTCCCCCTCCCCATGTCCTCAAGTCCATTCTCTATGTCTGCATCTTTATTCCTGTCCTGCCCCTAGGTTCTTCAGAACCACTTTTTTTTTTTTTTTTTTAGATTCCATATATAAGTGTTAGCATACAGTATTTGTTCTTCTCTTTCTGACTTACTTCACTCTGTATGACAGACTCTAGGTCCATCCGCCTCGTTACAAATAACTCAATTTCGTTTCTTTTCATGGCTGAGTAATATTCCGTTGTATATATGTGCCACATCTTCTTTATCCATTCATCTGTCAATGGACACTTAGGTTGCTTCCATGTCCTGGCTATTGTAAATAGTGCTGCAATGAACATTGTGGTACATGCCTCTTTTTGAATTATGGTTTTCTCTGGGTATATGCCCAGTAGTGGGATTGCTGGGTCGTATGGTAGTTCTATTTTTAGTTTTCTAAGGAACCTCCATACTGTTCTCCATAGTGGCTGTATCAATTTACATCCCCACCAACAGTGCAAGAGGGTTCCCTTTTCTCCACACCCTCTCCAGCATTTATTGTTTGCAGATTTTTTGGTGATGGCCATTCTGACTGGTGTGAGGTGATACCTCATTGTAGTTTTGATTTGCATTTCTGTAGTTGCTAGTAATTTGATTTTCAATCCTAAATCTCAAGGATTGCCAAATCTTATGTCCTTATTTTGAGGAAACCCACTAAGTGTGCAGGGCTTGACAACATTTTTCTGTCAATGGCCAGATAGCATGTGTTTTAGGCTTTGCAGGCCAGATGATCTCTGTTGTAGCTATGCAACCCTGCCACTGTAACATGAAAGCAGCCATAGACAATACATGAACAAGTGAGTGTATTACCCAAAGACTGGGTTCAGTCTCTTGGCAGACATTGAGCCAAAAGACACAACCAAGCCAAAGACTGATCCGAAGAGGGAAGGATTTATTGCTTGCAGCAAGTAAGGAGAACACTGGGGATATTTCCCAAAGCAGTGTCTCTGGGAACAGCAAAATTGGGGAAACTTTAAGCTAAGGGTACATGAATATTCATGAAGGGGCTTGTGCAGAGGAGTCAGCATAGAACTGGGGCAAAGGTCGACAGAGTCCAAGCTTTAGTTGATTGAAGTCACAAGTCCGAAAAGGTTAACATCATCATCTCCTGGGTTCCACTGATCAGGTGGTTGAGCGCTAGAGGGGGGTTTAGATTCTTCAGAACAGCTCGATAAAGTGCTTCAGGCCATCTTTACCATCGAAAGGGAACTGAGAGTTTTTACAACTAATCTGTTGTCTTTGCTATAGTTACTTCTCTTGCCTGATAACAGTTTGTTCTTTTGTTTCCTTAAAATTGTTATTCCTGAGGCCTGTTCAAGGGCAAGCACTGAGGACAGGCTTACATCACAAAACGGCTTAGGCTTAAAATGGCCCCTCTTATGTCGAAAAGCTGTATCTGGTTCTTTTCCACCAGGCATCCCCCTCCCCTATCTGCCTACAAGTGTGGTGTTCTAATAAAACTTTATTTACAAGAACAGGCTGCGAGCCCTATTTACCCAGCAGGCTTTAGTTTGCCAATCCCAGCTTGAAGGGATCAGTGTCTTCTCTGCCGTACAGATGTCTCTTTAGTCATCTTTCTCTTCCTGCTCTAGTTATGACTTTATGGACGAGGAATTCCGTGACTTACATGTAGTTCAAAGACACTAGATGTTTAATCGTCCTTGTCTTCATTACTTTTAATACCTTTAATATTTAAAATTTTGTTTTCTTTGGTATTAGTTATGTATATATAAATAGACAAAAAGCCACAGCCCTTCTTTGAAGGCACAGAAGGAGTAATGTTTTGGCACCAGTTCCAGAACTCACAGTTACTTAGGCTGTTTACAAAGAGTTTCATGTTGAGACCAATTCAGCTTCAACAGTATTGAAAGCCAGGTTAAAGCACTTAAGTTAACAGAGCTATAGCTTCCGGAATTTCAAATTCATGAGTCAATTTATGCAAAAACATTGCATATAACATTTGTTAAATTTATTTTTCTGAAATCTCTTCAAGCAAGAGAAGTACAAAGTTGTATGTGATCGCAATGCTGAATATAAGAAGGTATAATGCTAAAATGCGGGAAGAACTCTGAACTGATCTCTGAAATTCTAATTTTAAGGTAATTGAAGGAAGTGCACACATTTATCATGGAAAATAAAATTAGGTCACAGGAATGCTAAGTAGTTCTGTTTTCAATATTAAATGTAGGTTTAACCTAGAAAAGAAAAAAAAGAGGGAAACCAATAGACTAAAAAGTTAAATAGTTAACTGCCACAAAAGAAACTATGTTAGAGACTAGTAACTTTCTTCCCAATTCCTAAAGATAATATTCTTAAAGTGTATTTGGATATTGTCCTCTTAGAAAGTTACATTTGGCAAGTTGTAATTCTTTCAATTCCACAGTAGCTAGGAGACTCATCGGTTGCATGGCTAGTACTCACTGAATAGCTCATGTGTCTGTTCCTCACCTTATATGCTGATATTCTAAATGGAATTAAGACATACAAGCAGCCTTATTACCATTTGTATTTCTTTCTTTTTTTATTGAGCTATAGTCAATTTATTTACATATAATATTTGTATATTATATATGTAACTGAATCACTTCACATCTGAAACTAACACAATATTGTATGTATATGTATATATATTCTTTTTCAGATTCTTTTCTGTTATAGTTCTTATAGGTTATTAGATTATTTCAAGATGTCGAATATAGTTCCCTGTGGTATACAGTAAAACTTTGTTGTTTATTTGTATTTCTTAACAATGACAATCATTTGGATAAGAAAGGAATTTAAGAACATAAAGCAAGAAAAGAGAAAATGAGTTTCTAAAAACAAAGATCTAATGGATAACACTAAGTTAAGCCTGTAAGACCTTATCGGACTCTACCTTTCTAGGCTGCAATAAAATTACAAAAATTAATAGGTCACAGTAGCAAATATAGAATACTTCTGAGTTAGTATGAGTTTAGTTGAAATTTTACAAAAGAAGTATATAGGACATTGCTTTCCTCCCATCAAGAGCAAAGCACTTAAAGATGGGTCTATTATATTTATCTTTCTTAAAAAGTCATAGAGTAATATCTTGAGTAATTAAAATAACATTGTTTTATGTCAATTTTAAATGTATTAATGGTTTAATGATTCATAATTGCAGAAATATTGGCAAAAAAGTTTTTAGATGTCCATAATTTCATTTCAATATTTCTGCTTATTTTGTTTCATATTCTTATATGTTTCTACAGTTGCCAATATAATGCACACATTTTTAGGTTGTTACATAGTTTCCTAAATTTTTTAATTAAAAAAATTTATAACATCATAAGAGGTTCAAATGTAAAAGGCACAAAATGAAATCCCTGTATCAACACCATGTCCCAGCTATCCATTCCCATTTTTCCCTATTCTTCCAGATATATTTTATAGATATACAAGCACATATATTTATGTATAATACTTCTCTTTTTTATACAAATGGCAGCATATACTATAGACATTTTTGTGACTTTGTTTTACTCTTTATTTTGTTTGTTTTTTTACCTATTCTAAACACTTTTTTTTTTTAAAGGCCGCATGGTATCCTGTAGCATGAATTTTTCCTGAAACTGGTCTCCTACTGATGGATGTTTAGGTGGTTTCTAATCTTTTGCTTTACAAACAATACAGCAATAAATGAACACGTAAGATAAGTCAAGAGGATAGAATCGCGGGCTCAGAAGTTAAATAAATGCATTTGAAATTTTGATAGATGTTGCCAAATTGCCCGCTGGG